CATTTTGTTATTTCACTAGCCTCAACCCAACCCCCAAAGGTTTTATTTATTTATTTTTATAAGTAGCTTTGATTTGTTCCTAACTTGTGCAAGTTTCTTCTCTATCTTCAAAGAAGAAAACAAAAGTTTTGTTTACTCGGTTTCATCATTTTAAATATAAAAGAAACTTTGTATATATATGATGTCATATAAGCTTTTTTTTTAAAAATGAATCCCTGATTTATTTTATATGATGAAATTAGTAATATTATCCGTGAACGTATTGAGCAATATAATAGAGAAGTAAAGCTTTTAAATACCGGTACTGTACTTCAAGTAGGAGATGGCATTGCTCGCATTTATGATCTTGATGAAGTAATGGCAGGTGAATTAGTAGAATTTGAAGAGGGTGTGATAGGCATTGCTCTGAATTTGGAATCAAATAATGTTGGTGTTGTATTAATGGGTGACGGTTTGATGATACAAGAGGGGAGTTCTGTAAAAGCAACATGAAGAATTGCTCAGATACCCGTAAGCCTTGTGAGATGCGTTCAGGAAAAAAAAAAATCTCTCTTTTGTAGATACTCTAAGATAACATCAGTTGTCAACATACACTTATATAGAATACTTGTGCTTTTTACTAGTTATCATAAAAATGAAGAATATATCGAATTATTGGTAAGCCCTTTCGTCTTATTTAATTTTTATAACACGAAATATGGACCCATGTGGACCACAAGCGAAATTAACTCTAGATACAAAAGTAGTCATGGTCGGGAGTATTTTTTTCACAAAAGGTAGAATCTCCAGCTGATGTAGCCCGTATGTATACACACCCAACTACTCTGATTCATTTATTTACTCCCCGCAAAGTCAGAACTCATGCATTCAAGTAGGGCTTCGTTATTCCAAAAAAATAAAAATCATAAAAATAAATAAATAAAGTAGGGCCTGATTATAAGTAGGAAGAAGAATGGTATGATCATTCGTGCACGCACGGATTGATGTTAACCGTTGATATACATAAAGTTAATCATGACTAGTTAACAAATTATTATGATTAATCGCACACACGCGTGAGTTGATTTTCCCCTTTCATGTATGTAACATTTACAATGCATCAACGGATCAAATCAAATTGCACACACCTAGTAATTAAGGATTTCTTGTATTTATAATGTTGATATGACCTCAGACTAAATTAAAAAAGAGGTTAAGCGAGTTTGGACAAAAGTAATGCTAAGGTAACTTTCTAAAAAGTCCTCGTATTGCATCTCATTCTTCTCACTTTCCAAAAAAGAAAAGAAAAAAAAGAGGTACTGCTATGTGTAGTCATTGCCATAAAATAAAGCAGAAATAATCTCTTAGAAATATAGAAAATTTGTATAATAGAAGCCCTGTAATTTGTCCTGTCCGCACATGTAGTGGCAAGCTTCAAGTAACCAAATTATCCTCAGCAACACAATATGAAGCTATGTTAAAACACTTTCATGTTACGCGAATAACACTTTTTGTTATCTTTGATCAATAGCGCAATGATATGTAAAATAACTTTTTCGCGTGTCATTGTATCATTAGTCAGCTTGTTATAGGTAAGGTTTTTTTGCTTTTTTAAGCCCAAACCGACAGACAAGCCAATCCAACATATCATTGGTCCTTTGGGGTGACACTGATTAATTGTAAATGAAATATAGGTTGTGAAGAACATGGAAAAGTGAAAAGAAGAAGAAAAGAAGTGAGTTTAATGTTCCATACGATGCTACTTTTCAATTCTTGGTTCACTTTCTGCATGCCCTGGTTGACCTCACACGGTGCTCTTGATCTTGTCACTAGTCATTGATTTGGATATTTGCCTTTACACTTTCGTATGTGTTTGTAAATATGTGCACGGAAAAGAGTGAAAGGAGAGGGGGGGGGGGGGGGGGGGGACGTAATATTTACTCAAGGAAAGATAATGGGAATTTTTTTTGCGTAATTAAGATTCCATAAAAAATTGGAAAAAAAAAAAATACAATCTTATTTTAATGCATGAGACGTATGAAGTCAAGAAAAAAAGATAAAGAAAATTGCTTGGGGGTGAGAATCCGAGAAACCAACTTTGCCATTTTAAAGCAAACTTTTCCATCTCACCTATTATCATTTTGTCTTTTCACTTCTCAACTACGAATGGACTTTCATGAAGCTGATCTTGAACAGCCAAGTACGAATACTTTCGTTTAAGAGAATATTTTTGGTGTAGAAAGTCTCAAATTCAGGATCTTCCATTGCACAAATTTCCTAAGCAAACTTTTCCATCTCACCTACTATCATTTTGTCTTTTCACTTCTCAACCCTAACTACCAGTGGACTTGACCAAAACGAACCCAACTACCAACGGACTTTACCAAAACGAACCCAACTACCACATGCTATTTTTAAACAAAAAATTTAAAGTTCAAGTTATAACTTCGTTCCCAAGTAGCGGGAAAGTTCTTTTCCATCTTCAAGAAGGAAATAAAACCTTAACCATTCAGTTTCATCATTGTAAAAGATAAAGAGATTTCGTATGATGTTGTATACACTGGCGGACTCAATAATTTTTCGGAAAAAGGGCAATTTTTAAAACGTTAAAAGCTCAAAAAAAAAAAACTTAGAATTTGAACAATACTAATGTCATTTGTAATTCATAGAAAAAAAAATATTACATTACAATTAAGTTACAATTGTTCACCACGAGCTTCCATATCATGAAAACAATGACAATATTTATACAAACTTGGTTTCTTTTTTTTTCTTTTTTTTTAAATAATACAATTTTATACATACTTGATCGATATTAACGTTGCAGACTTGATAGACAATTAATTTTGCAGCCCTACAAATTTATGCAAGGACAATCCTTATTTAAGGCCCAATTTGTTTTTCATCCAATGACCCAATTGATTTATCATATACTAAATATCATGTAGGAATTGCAGTCGCACTCACATGTTTATTCCTTTTTTTTTTTTGGGCAACATGACATCGTTTTGCTCATAACTTAAAAAACAAAGGGACAGCAACTGTGATGTGCATGCAGCAAAAGAAAGAAACCCAGCAAGTTTGCTTAAGCTTTTTTTCAAACACTACTTGGAGTGCAACAGCAACTAGAGCAGAGGTGCAACTCCAGCAGCTTTAATGGAGATTTCCGGAGACCGGAGATGCAGGTGCACCTCCTTGCACCTGCATAGGTCCGCCAGTGGTCGTATAAGCTCTTTCTATATGAATTTTAGCTTTGTTTTAAATAATCTCATTATGTTTACGGAATAAAATTGTCACGCCCCAAAATCAGACCAAATTCACTGAAAGAACAATTAAGTCAAACTCATTAACTTACTCAATTAGCACTACTAAGAACTAAACATAAACACTTCCATTGGTGTTTCCAATAGTACAAGTTTAAAACATAAACTTCATAGCTTTTACTTAGAAGGATACAAGAGGTTAACAAAATATTTACTTTCCAAAATATTATTTAAGACATGATTCTTTTACCAGATACTTTAATAGGATAACATCAGCTATCAACATACAATAATATAAGATCAGTCTCATAATTATTTTTTCTTATAATTGAATTATCTTTTATTGTTGATTCCGTAGGCCATGCTAAAAGTAGAGGTAGAAGGAGGAGGGCAGAGGGAAAGCTCTGTTTTCTTTTTCCTTGCGAGTTGCTTCCCATTACAACTTGGCTCTACCTGCCTAACCTAATATCATCTACTTCACTATCATAAAAAGGAAGAATATATCAAAATTATTGGTAAGCCCTTTCGTCTTATTTAATTTATAACACAAATAATTGACCTCCTATATTTATTATTTGTGTACCCGTATGGACCACAAGCTAAATTAATTCTAGCTATAAAAACCCCGCCGTATCACCGTCTATGTTATAGAGTAGTCATGGTCAGTAGGCTCCACCACCCAGTATTTCTTTGACAAAAAAGGCTGAATCTCCAGCTGCTGTATGTATACACCTAACTTCTCCGATCCATTTTTTTTTTTTACACCCCCGTGAAGTCGGAATAGAGAATTGAAGTAGGGCCTTGTTATAAGTAGGAAGAAGAATGGTATGATCAGTTGTTCACGCCCGGATGAATCTTAGTAATGAAATTATTACGTGTGAATTTATTTTCACCATTTATACATATATGATTTACAATACATCAACGGACAAAATCAACCTACATGCACATAATGTGTAGTTTTTTTTTTTAATGAGCACATAACCTTCTTGACCACCGCACTAAGTTTTTTTTCAAATGGAAAACATTGTTGGCATGGCCTTGTGGAGTCATAGCATATAATATATGGTTATTTGGAACTTCGCATTCCACGTGTGGACAGGACGAAGTCCATACCCGCTTTTCACATTGAATTACATGCTTCTATAATTTATACAACAATTCCAAGAGATTATTTTATGGCGATGTTTATGGGAAAGCATGCAATGCAAACCTCATGCTTTGCCTTGGAACAAAACCAAAGGGAGGGGAGTGACAATTAATATATTGTGGTCAAAAGGCTGTGGAAAGCATGCCCTGCTTACAGCATGTTGTGTGTGAAACGGCCCACTGATTTAGACCAAGTAGGTGCTGCTGGGGGACATATAAATTATAATCCAATTAAAAACGATACAATTGCAACCTTCCATATAATATATAATTTCAGTTAAGTTATTATCTTTTGTGGACTTATTAAAAAAAGAAAGGAAGAAAGAAATCTTCTGTTCACACAGCAAAACAAGAAAGAAAGAGTCTTTATCTTTTCTTGGTTTTGTCAGTATAAATATGACTCAAGTCGCTCTCTCACCTCTAGGATAGAGAAAGTCCTCCAAAACGTGGCAGACAGTCAGAGACCACAGACCGCGTAGTGTTTATTTACTTTATTCCTTCTTTTTTTTGGTTCTATGGGTTAGCCTCGGCAGCACAATACACTCTGCTCAAATCCTTTATTTAAGCCCAAACCGACGTGCCAACCATACATATCCATTCTCTCTCTCTCTCTCTCTCTCTCTCAACATTTTCAACTCTGTTTCCAACTCATTTCACACAGACGCAAGTTCAATCTGCATGCTGGGTTTTCCTGTGAGCTCAAAGCAGCTAGCGATGCACTGTTGACAGCAAAGCTCATATATCTCTACCAAGTAATTTTCTTCAACTAACTAGAAAGCATGCAGCTTTATCTGTTCAATTTCTTCTTCTTGTTGCTGTTGCTGTGTTTCTCTGTGTCCATATCTACTGTATCTAGTTTGAGCTCTGATGGGTTGGCTTTGTTGTCACTCTCCAAGCATTGGACCTCTGTCCCTGCTTCCATATCCTCAAGCTGGAGTGCTTCTGATGCCACTCCATGCCAATGGGTTGGAATAGAATGTGACAATGCCCACAATGTGGTTGCCTTGAACCTCACTGGTTATGGAATTTCTGGTCAATTGGGACCTGAAGTTGGCAGCTTTAGGCACTTGCACACTCTTGATTTGAGTGTCAACAATTTTTCTGGCAAAATCCCAAAAGAATTGGCCAATTGTAGTCTTCTTGAAAACTTGGACTTGTATAAAAATGGCTTTTCTGGTGCAATACCTGAATCCTTGTTTGCAATTCCTGCCTTAGCTTATGTACATCTGTATACTAACAGTTTGAACGGTTCCATCCCCGGAAATGTTGGGAATCTGAGTGAGCTTGTGCATCTGTATTTACATGAGAATCAGTTTTTAGGAGTGATTCCTTCATCCATTGGAAACTGTAGTAAATTGCAGGAGTTGTTTTTGGGTCAGAACCAGTTGACAGGAGAGCTTCCTAAGAGCCTGAACAACCTTGAGAACCTGGTATATCTAGATGTAGCTATAAATAGTCTTGAGGGTAGCATTCCTTTGGGTTCAGGTACTTGCAAGAATTTAATTTACTTGGATTTGTCATACAATAAGTTTAGTGGTGGTTTTTCTACATGTGAGTAGTTTAACTACTTGGATTTTTCATACAATAAGTTTAGTGGAGTTCTTCCATTAGGGCTTGGAAATTGTAGTACGTTAACATGATTTTCTTTTGTGGGTAGCAATTTAGAAGGGAGTATTCCATCTTCCTTTGGTCAACTGAAGTACCTTACAACTTTGTAGCTACAATGAAATCATTTAACTGGTGAAATTCCAATTAGCATATGGAAGCTTCGAAGTCTTGAGCAGATCCTTGTGTTCAATAATAGCCTCATTGGAGAGCTGTCTTTAGTGATGACCGAGATGAAACAGCTAAAATATATATCATTGCACAACAACTTATTTTTTGGAGTTATACGACAAACTTTGGGTATTAACAGGTTGAATGGTTCCATCCCTGGAAATGTTGGAAATTTGAGTGAGCTTGTGCAGCTGTCTATAATTAAGAATTAGTTTTCAGGAGTGATTCCTTCATCCATTGGAAACTATAGTAAATTGGAGGAGTTGGTTTTGGGTCACAACGAGTTGACATGAGAGCTCCTTAAGAGTATGAACAACCTTGAGAACCTAGTAGATCTAGATGTAGCTATAAATAGTCTTGAGGGTAGCATTCCTTTGGGTTGAGGTAATTCTAAGAAGTTAAACTCATTGGATTTGTCAAGTCATAAGTTTAGTGGAGGTCTTCCATCAGGGCTTGGACTATAGTAATTTAACACATTTTCTTACTGCCGGTAGCAGTTTAGAATGGAGTATTCCATCTTCCTTTGGCCAACTGAAGTACCTCAGAGCTATGCACCTTCCTCAAAATCATTTAACTGGTGAAATTCCAGTCAGCATATGGAAGCTTCAAAGTCTTCAGCATATCCTTGTGTTCAATAATATACAGTCTCACTAGGGAGCTGCTTGTAATGGTGACTGAGCTGAAGCAGCTAAAATTTATAAGATTGTTCAACAACCTATTTTTGGGAGTTATACCTCAAAGTTTGGGGATTAACATCAACTTGTCACTGTTAGATTTTACTAATAATAATTTCACTTGTAAAATCCCCCCAAATCTTTGCCAAGGAAAGCAGTTAAGGAAGTTGATTTTGGGATCCAATCGATTTCAAGGTACCATACCTTCTGATTTTGGAACTTGCTCTTCTCTCTCAAGGTTGAGCCTGTACCAGAATAACCTCATTGAGGTTTTTCCACAGTTTGCAAAAAGTCCTACCTTTTCATACAGGGACATCAACAGCTAGGCCTGTAAATAAAGCCCAAACCCGATGGGTTGGCCCTAACTCGGCCTGATTTTTTTAACTTATGGGCTTACTTGGCCAAAAGCAATGGGCTAGCTTGGCCTGGCCCGAGGTCTAAAGGGTAGGGCTTGGGCTATTCTTTTAGCCCTATAAAAGCCCGACCCGATTATAATTAATTAAGTTTTATTTAAATTAATAATGATTATAATGGAATTCATTGTCAGCCATCTATATTAATTTGTTTATTTGGTCCATCATCTGACATCTATCTTAACAAATTGAACTCTTATCATCACTCATAAAGAAGAGGCAATCACAATCCTAATTTGTAAGTTGCTTAATGAACTTTTGTTGGAAAATTACAGGTATTAAAGGAAAGCATATTTTTTGTGAATTAATTTGCTTGAAATAAACAAACTTATGCGCAGCTGCAGAGGTCTTGGAATTTGGGGAGACCATGTTGTCGCCACGTTGATGTCCCTCCCAACATTTCTATTTTTTTAAAGGGTGGTGCTAGAGGCACCAACTTTGGGCACCAACTCTCT